AAACACTCAATGCCTCCAGAGTCTCAGAACTGGACAGAAGCTTAGGACATTGTTGGTACTCTTTAATGAGCCAAGATCCATCCATTTATTTGCTTTTTGTTTTCAAATGTGCACATAGTTTAAATTGTACACACTTCTGTCCATTGACTGAATCTGCACATTTTTCCAATTTTTTTTTTTATTTTCTCCAGAAGTATCCACAGCCGTGTAACGTTCTGGGGTATGATTCGTTTCCAGCTCAGCTATTGTTGGGAAATGCAGAGTGAGACAAGCAAATAAAACTTTGGATAGAAAATGGATCTCTGGGCATTGCTTCCTCCTAGGCGGTCTTCTGTTCAGTTACAGACCAGCCCTTTGACATGCTGAACTTCTACAGGGTTGTTACCTCATGGGTGTTCCCAACCCGCCATTTTTGAACTGTAGCTCATAGCACTTTTTCCTTTCCTGTCTCTCCGACCCCAGCCTTCATTCTAGCAAAATATTCCAGCCTGATGTCCGTGGCCTTTAACAGGATTTCCAGCGGTCCAGAAATCTCTCCCTGGCCATACAGAGGCCCCTCCAGGACACAGCAAACAATCATCCACTGTGTCAGCCAATGTCATGCCCATAGGCACATCAGCTGGCATGTTTTATAAATATCACCGATGATGGCAAAAAGAAAAGGTCAAGCCATCGTGGTTCAGAAACAACCACGTAACAGGAATTCTAGGAATAAAAAGACAGAGGGTAGGTGTGTGTGTGTGTGTGTGTGTGTGTGTGTGTGTGTGTGTGTGTGAGAGAGAGAGAGAGAGAGAGAGAGAGAGAGTTTCATCTAGAATGAACAAGCCTGCCTTCACTGCAGTTTCCTCTCCATTTATTTGTTTTCTAGACAAAAAAAGCTTCCTCAGTGAGAATTTTATCTAGAATGAATAAACCTGCCTTCACTGCAGTTTCTTCTCCATTTATTGTGTTGTCTAGATAAAAAAAAAACTTCCTCAGCACATGCACCCCAATAATAAAGATGTTACAATCAAAGTCACAATGGACTACAATTAAGCAGACACAGCTCATTGCTCTAATGAGCGAGGTATTTTCACTTTGTAGCACAGGCCTCAGCTAATCTCTCTCCCCACATTTATGAGGTCGGTAAACCACAGTATTTTTTTTTCCAAGCGGAAATTCCTATCATGGGAGGAAGAACAATGCAATATTCCTAAGAGCCTTCACTTATTTTAACCAGATCTTAATTTATTTTTGTTGGGCTCATTCTGCAAGAGAGTTGAATGGCCAATAAACACTGGATTCTGCCCTCTCTTTTAGTCAGGTTTTTAAAAATCATCGATACAGTAGTAGAGATATACTGATGCTCTGCTTTGGATGAGGATTAGTTCATTAGTTCGTTAAAATATTTCTACTCCATCTCTCTTCTTAAAAAGCAGCTTACATCACGAAAACATGATATTTAAAGCTAAAAACGAGTAAGCGTACAAATACAAGAAAGGATTGAAGGTCACACTACAAGACAGTAAACAAAAACAACACCAAAATCACATTTAGAACAGTAAGGCCGAACAATCCGTTTAACAACCCCACTCATTTCTGGAAATTCACAGCTGAAATATTCCAGAAATCTTGCTTTTAAAAACCTCCAATGAAAGACAGTCTACCACCTCCCCAGACAGCCTGCTCCACAGTCAGATACCTGTTGCTTTTAGGAAGCTCCTCCTAACAATTACTCCAAATCTTTTTATTTTCTTTTAATTTTGGCCCTACCTTATGGCAGCCCTTTGGGGGGGGGGATTCTTGGGGATCAAAACACAGAGGCCGGCAGGAGGTGGCTGACATCCCAGACAAGAGCAGCACACCCCAATACGACTTGTTGTTTATGGCCCCACAAGTATATAATGTCTTCCTCCTCAGACCTAGTTTGTGCTTTCATCAAAACCAAAGGTTAACTCTCCTCCAAAGTGTATCCGCTAAGGATGTAAATCCTTCCCGTTGTATCCTCACAGGGTTAGAATTGGCGGTTAGGGTAACGGCTGAAGGTGAGGAACTGCAAAAATGTTCTCCCATCCCGGGAGTTTGGCAGTTCTTCTCTGCTCGCTCTGTGTGGACTTCAACCCTTAAAGGAAAAGGATGCATGATCTACCTCCAAAAATCCTGGCTGGAACAGCCGGTTGTGAAGGTTTTGGGGAGTTTTAGTCCAAGAACATCAAGGTTTGGAACCAATGATCTACAGGAAAACTCAACTAACAAAATTCAGTGCAGGCAGGCTGGTAGCATATCAAAACTAAATATCCAGGCTTGCTTTTTACCAACATGTGTTATGTATACAAAAGAGCCAGTATGTATGGTCAACTGTGTAAAACCAGTTCATCTGCCTTCAGGGCTATGTTCACAAAAGGCTTTAACCCCTTGATTTTGCTGAGCAGACTGCTGCAGGATGATTGGTTGACCTACCTTGATCCTGCAAATGAGAGTAATTGCCCTTTAGTACATGAAGCATATAATGCTGATCTCTCAATCTGATTACAGGTGTGTTGTGATGGATCACAAAGAACCCTCAATATAGATGCCATTCTGGTGGCGCAGAAGTGTGAAAGAACACAGAACTGCACCAGCAAAATGGCACCACCTGTTTTAGAAGGAAATGCCATTTTTAAGATCATCTTTTTTTGATCTCCTATTGCAGATCCAAAATAGCTGCGGAAGTTGCCTCTCAGCCCCACTGATTAAAATTGCTCCCCCAATTATAATCAGTGACGAACTAAAACTTTGCTTCATATCCCATAAACCATTTTTAGCAGTGTGGTGAAGGGAAGTCCTCTGCTGTCTGGTCTCTCCCCCACCCTGCAAGACTCTTCACGACTATATTCCTTTGTTTCTTGAAATCCCTCTCGCTTGCTTTCCACAACATCGCCGTAGAGCCAAAGCTGACCGAGGACTTTTTAATACTATGAAGTTATTCCCTTTTCCCAGTGGGATTCTTAATGAGGCACCATGAGCCCCTGAGATTAATGCAAAATGGACGGATGAAGGGAAAAGATAATAGGATGTGACGCCGTAGCAGGAGCATCAAGGAAAATAATGTATGGAAAAGAATTTAAGCATGTGCATGTGGATAAAGGTTACTATATGGAAATTGATAATTTTGCCCTGAAAAAAATAATCTAAAGTGGTGTATATACAGCACAGCCTTGATTAGGAAAATAACTAACGAGCATGCCAATTATGTATCCAATCCTGTTCACACTTACCTGGTTGCAAATCCCTTTAGCTTCAACTGGACTAATTTCTGAGTAGACATGCATAGGATTATGCTTCAGAGTTTCCAGCCCTACTAAGGAGTTTTAATATCTCTCATTTAGCTCTGTGGGATTTCTCTACAAGATCATTTCATCAAATCCTAGAAAGACCACCACATGGAGGGCTGGGGATCCAGTAACACGGTCCTCCTCCCGCCATACACGAGTTTGACTTTCCCCAGATCTAGAAGCATGGTGCCAGTCCTCCCACCACCCTTTAGTTCTCAGGAGAAGCAGGAAAACACAGACAATGGTAAGCACAGGGATCGGAAGCATATGGGACGGGTGGGGAGTGAGAGAGCGGGTGAAACCTTTCATATGGTTTGGTTTGGAGCCATTCTGAGAAAGAGGATCGATGCGGTGAGCCACGCTATGTGCTATTCGTGATGACATTTTAAATTGCTACGGGTTTTTACAAGGATATCTTGATGGACTGGAAAGGATAAGCTATCACTTGGTGATGCATCTTTTTTGGTAATGTATTGAATTCACTGTTCACAGGGATAAAATAAGCTATCACTTGGTGATGCATCTTTTTGGTAATGGATTGAATTCACTGTTCACAGGGATAAATAAATAAAAAAGAGTTCTCTCCTAAGAGGAAAAAAATGTTCATCACTAGGACTAAGCATTCAAGGGGCCAGGATCCTTTAAGTATTTGTGTACGGCTTCTGTAACTTATTGTGGCTAACTGTGGCAAATTTATAAGGTGCCAAAGTGTCTCCATCACATATCAGATCATGTGCCTGGACTACACAACTGGACCTTTGTCAATTAGTCACAGTTAGCCATGGTAAGTAACATAAACTTTACATAAATGCCATTTGGACTCCAGCCCATCTTATCTGCTTTAGTAATAGGGAACTTCCAGTTTTACAACCAACATAAAGCCAATTATTTGCATTGTATTTTGGGTAGTAGCAGTGGAATTGTGTCTTACAACAACATGCAGCTTCAGTATAAACATTGTCACAGTTTTCTAAAGAACATTCAAATTCCTGGAAGAGTGACATAACTTTGGTTCTCCATTCTACTTCATTCTTTCAGCAACTATTAAGATTATAGCCCAAGTCCGGCTCTACCTTTTTTGTAAAGCTAGTTGACTTCTATGCAACATTAACACAAGATGACACTTGATCAGACAGATGTTACTGATCCCATTATCCTTGATAGCTTAATTTTTGGCTCCTTTGCTCTGCACTGGACTGGCTATTGTCATACACCCTCCCTTCTAGATGGTGGTTCCCTGTTTAACCCAACAGCCCTGGAAAAGTCCAGGAAGATATAATGTTGGTTTTATTTATTTCAATTTAAACTATTGGAGGCCTTTCCTTGCACCAGGACTTGAACATGACTTGATGGCCCCTTTATCTACACTGCCAACCTCAAGATTCTCTCGGTGGGCTCTCTTGTGCAATGTTCTAATTCTCTGCTAGTTTCCTCTCTCTCAAATCCTCACACTTATTTTCTTCAAACCCCTCACTCTACATCCTCCTATCTGTTTGTCTCCTTCCCTTCTCTATCTCCAACTTGGAACAGTTCCTTTTCTTTTCTTTTTTTGGAGTCCGACTTCCAGAAATCCCCAAACCAACATCGCCTTCCGGCCATGGTAGCTGGGCAATCTTGGCAGGTGAAGTCCAAAATGTAACTTCTTGAATCTTTGCTTTTGACATAGAGAGAGAAACAAAATGAAGACACACACACACATAAACTTACACGTGTCTGGTTTGTGGCAATTGTGTCCTTGTCGGAAGTATTGTGGATTCTCAATGACAGGGATACGGGTCATGCCTATCACCACCGTGTCCGGGCCGGTGTCCAGCGATGAAGGCGTGGTGATGCCATGATTGATGTGATGAAGAGGACTGGCGGAATCTTCCTCTCCACTGATCACAGCCACAGGACCTAGAGACAGACAGATAAATTCATTAAGACATGAGGGATCCTGGTCTTTGTTCCATACCAAGAATGCATCATCTTGGTGCAGCCCAGCTGTTATGGATAGAAAGGTTCTGAGTTCCATGTTCTCATCAATCAAGAAAATGAGACACACTGTCAAGGAAGCCCTGTGAGATCTGTTTGCCTGATGACAAAAGATGATTTGCTCCTCCAAGGTCCACCTTCCAAGCTCTCTGCAGTGTTGCCATGCGCTGTCAAGTCACTTCTAATCTATGATTATCCCTGCAGGGTTTCCAAGCTATGTGGGAGGTTCATGGAATGGTTCCACATAGCCATTGTGTTTCCATGGCTCAGTGGGATTTGAAACCAGGTGTCCTGAGACTTCATCTAGGGAATACTGTCTAGGGAACATCTCATCTCTAAAGTGCCCATGAGATAGTACGGATCAGCTCCTCACCTGTAACTGTGGTGGTTCTATGGTTCTTTTGTGATATACAGAGACCACAACAAATAAATCCAAGTTACCGGCACCATAAAATGAAGCATTTCTCCTTCCCCCAGGTCCATAATTCAATATGCCAGATGCTTTTCCCCATTGCTAGCCATGAACTCCGAAGGGAAGCCATGATCAATGGCCAGAAAACTGGACTGGCGTGTCAGCCTTGGGCGGGGTCCTCTCACACACTCTACAGCTGCATGGAAGGATGTGCATTAAATTGGATGGTGTGCCCACCATCCAGTTTTGCTTTATTCAGTACTTCATCATCCTTCACAAGGCCCTCTCTTACACAACCGGCATGCAGAGTTGCACACTGTAGGAAAACAGTCGGCAATCCATCAGAACACTGCATTCAGCACCGGTAAAGCCTCGTTCCAAGCAGTAGTTCTCAAACTGGGGGTCCCCAGATGTTCCTGGACTGGAATTCCCAGAAGCCTTCACCACTTTGCTGTGCTGGCCAGGATTTCTGGGAGTTGCAGTCTAAAAACATTCAGGGACCCAAGTTTGACAACCACTGATTTAGAGGTCCCGTGTCCAGTTCTGGACACCACACTTTTAAGAAGGGTGCCAACAAACTGGAAAAAGTTCAGAAGAGGGAAACAAGGATGATCAGGGGACTGGAAACCAAGCTCTATCAGGAAAGACTGAAAGAACTGGGCATGTTTAGCCTAGAGAAAAGAAGATGGAGGGGAGGCATGATAGTGCTTTTCAAATCCTTGAAAGGTGGTCATTACAGAGGTGGGAGCAGGATCTGTTCTCGATCATCCCAGATTGCAGGACACGTAAGAATGGTTCTCGATCATCCCAGATTGCAGGACACATAAGAATGGTCTCCAGCTCCAGATTTAGGCTATCAGGAAAAACTTCCCAACTGTTAGAGCAGTCTGGCATGCAGGAAAAACTTCCCAACTGTTAGAGCAGTCTGGCAGTGGAACCAACAACCTTGGCAGCTGGTGAGCGCTCCAGTGCTGGAGACATTCAGAAGAAAACTGGACCACTCTCTATCAGATCAGATTTGCTTTGACTTGGATTCCTGCATTAACAGGGGGTTGGACTTAATGGCTTTAGAGGCCCCTTCCAACTCCATTATTCTGTGATTCTAAGAAGAAAGGGGGGGTTAAAAAAAAAACTCTGACAGCATTACATACTCCTAATCAGAGCTTTAATTTATTCATGCAACACAAGGAAGAAACATCTACGCCTGGAGAAGTTTTACCTTCTGTTTTGCCAAGACTGCCAGTGGCTAGCAGGAGGTCAATACAAGGCAGGGAAGATTCACACTTCAAACACATTCAATAAGTCTGTCTTTTACCTGAGCTAAGGAAAGGGGTAGGGGTTAGGGAGATCTCCCTTCCATCACTTAAACTATTTCTAATTGCCCAATGGCTTTATTATGGAACATGAGCAACCCAAAATGAAGAAAGGTTTCAAGGCATTGGGAGTCTCTCGGCAAGAACATCCAGAGAATGTGGAGTCTGAATGCATGATTTCGTTGGAGTAAAAAAGAAAGAAAGAAAGAAAGAAAGAAAGAAAGAAAGAAAGAAAGAAAGAAAGAAAGAAAGAAAGAAAGAAAGAAAGAAAGAAAGAAAATGGGGGGGTGGAGTGCCAGCTCTTTTTCAAGTTCAGGTATTGTTTGTTCTTCCAAATGGGACATAATAAAGTTGCTGGGCAATTAGTAAGACTCCCGGCAGCTGTGACAGGTGTTTTTACTCACACGGAAGAAGTCTTTGTTGCTTCAAATCTCCCATCCACATAATTGTAAACTCGGATTGACAGCTTTGCTTGTTTTCTTTACCCAGTCTCCGCCCCCATCTGAGCTACAGCCCATCTTAGCAACGTTAAGAGCTGTTGTGGAAACCAATCTGCACCGTAAGATTCCTGCAGCTAATCTTTACAACATTTTTTGTTTGTCGGTGAGCAAACAAGGACCCAAGCTGGTAGGGTTTTCTTATAAACCAGAAGAATGTCAATCATTATGACAGTCGGAGAACAGCAGTGAAATAGGGGAGATGGGTGTTGACCTTGGTGATGTTACCAAGCATCGCAGCAGCTGAGTATCACAAAGGCTGGGCTCGGAACAGAAATGTCGGTATATCATGACACCAACCTCAAACACAAGATGAATCGTATGACCCCACAAACCCTTCTATGATTCAGATGTCAATCCGAGCTGGAAGAGACCTCACCTCCAGTTTTCCATCACACACTCAACATGCTTAATTCCAACCCAGATTTGTTTTTTGCCTGCCCCAACACAGAACTGTATTGTTGGAAATCGTGTTACAAGACGCAACGGGTAAAATTATTTAAACACATAAAAAGACCAGAAGTACTTTTTTCTGTTTCTCCCACTGCACATCCACTTCTCTATATGTACACTACATGTAAATAGAGCTTCCAACTTTTCATGTTGTCTATTAAAAAAAACACTATATTACCATGATAAACAGAGGTCTGCTTTTAAAACCAACCAGACTGTGGGTCTTTGGCCGTTTCATCCTCAACATTAGGACACAATCAATTGTAAGCTTGCATTCATTTAGCTAGGTTGGCTGCCCACCAGCAAAAAACCAAAATCATTACGATCAATGCCACATTGATCCTTAATAGCAAAGTTTAAGGGGAGCGAGTGTACATAGAAAGAGCTTTTTTAAAAAAAAAAGAGAGAGAGAGAGATTATGACAGGAGCAAAGGAACATATGGATCTGCCTTATACCTGAGCCAAGAATAATAATATAACAATCTTAGAACTGCAGAGTTGGAAGGAACTCTATGGATCACTGCGTAGAGTCGCTGTTAGAGAGGCACAACGTGGAACTGAACTTCTAACCTTTGGCACCAAAGCCAAATACCCAAACCACTGAACTATCTGGCAGCTATGCAATGATTAGCTTTGACTGGCAGTTGTTCTCCAAGACTTCAGGCAGGATTCATCCCCAGAGCTACCTAGCGATCCTTGGTATTACATGCTGGCTTCCCACTCAGGTGTTAACCAAGCCCAACACTCTTCTTCATACAAAATCCAACAAGAGTATATATATTCAGGGTGATTTGGTGATGCTACACTGTGACACCGATCCAAGGGAACTTTGTAGTTTTCAAGAAATGCAAAAGAATTTTTTTAAAGTCTATCCATTAAGATAAAATCCTCTGTCTGGAGGAATTAGACAAACCCAAGGGAACTTTGTAGTTTTCAAGAAATGTAAAAGAATTTGTTTTGAAAAATCTATATCCATTTTAAAAAATCCTCTGTGCTGTGTTTAGTTACTCCACACCTTGCTTCTGATCTTCCCAAGGAGATTGGGTTGGCCATCGTCATCAGCTGACTGCTGACCTAGAAGGACACATGTTTTGTTCAGCATGATTGTGTGTCTGAACATGAGCGAAGCGGAGTTGAAGACTTACAGAGGTGGGTGCACTACAAATCCAGACATACAGTACCTTCCCATTTCCAGTCTGATGGAGTCCAGTAACATACGGATGGGTAAAAAGGTAGTCCATGCCTGCCACCTACTTTTGCCATACCAGTGTTTCAGAATTACACATCCCAACATAGACGGCTATGATGTTCTCATAGACGATTATGATAGGGGCTGTCATTTAACAACAATAAGAGACTTCAACTTGGGAAGCATTAATACAAACATGTGTTCCTCCCTTTATGTATTACATACATGACAGAGGAATGCATAAAGAAAGGAAACTCATATTGAAGGGCAATAGTCAAAGAGAAAGAGGTTTCCCATCTCAAATATCCATGCAAAGGATATAATGAATACTCAGAAATGTTCTTGTTGGAATATTGATATGTTCCATTGAAGAAATTATCAACTACTGTGATATTTTTCATTGTGCATGAGGAGGATTTAAACCAAGTCTTTTCCCCATCAACAACAGCCTCAACTAAAAAAGCTGTGTTTTGTGCAAAATCCCCTTGTATATTTCACAAAATCTTGCAACTTGTATTTCCTATAAAGAAGACTCCTGTACATGGAAATAAACAGTGAAGAAATTATCGCAGTCTTACTCAACAAGGGTTCATTCTCCCTCCCAAGGATGAAATAAGGAGATTTGCATCCTTAATCTGTGCTAACAAGCAGGCAGTGGATCATCCCCAGGAGATCAAGAAAGGGAAAAGCTTCATGGCTTCTTGCTGTGTTCATTGAAGGCATATCCAACTCTAGACAACCCAATAGTTGAAGGGGAAGCAACATGAAAGGTTGTCTGGAGAAGTGTATGATGGATTGTTTCTCATAGCTGGAGAGTCTGTTGTCACCAAAGCTAACAGGCAGCATGACAAGGAAGTGTCATTCTCTGTCTCAGTTTTTGACACCTACCAAGAATGAGTTCTGGTGCTCCACACAGCTGGAAACCTCTTGGGAGGAGATGTTTCTGAAAACTTTCCCCACCTTGAACATATGTCAGCTCTCAGACAACCATCCGGCTTCACCCCTTGACTATCAAGTATCTTTACGCAGTCCCGCAGGCCATGGGCGTCCTTGCCTCC